TCTTCCCCTCTAATTTTCATAACCGCTTTGGTTTCTTACAAACACGGCGTCGTGCGTCCTCATCAGGCTCACCTAATTAATGCTAATGGCAGGTGAATGATTAAATCCGCGCATTCTGCAAATATTTTCGAAATTTAAAATATTCCATTGGTTATTCTTACTGAGAGTTACGCGATTGTAAAGACCTTTGCCTCAGAGAAGTTCGTTATTATGAGGTGCTTAGTGTTTAGCAATTATGCTGTACCGCATTCCTACGTGCGGACGGGTTGCCTAGTCGCCCGGCGCTGTCATAGCGAGAGAGAAGGTGCTGTCATAGCGAGATCAGGGGCGATAGGCAAAACCCGCCCGACCCACCCGGTTCTCCTGCGTCCGCTACCTCATCTTATACAACTACAGAAGTGCGCGGGGTTAATCAGCCACCTGATACTTACAACGTCGTGTCATCGTAATGAGGGGGGGCAGAAGGACGACAGGACGACGGCGATGTCGAAGTGCAGCAGCAGAAAGTTTCGCGTGCGGCGAGACAGAGAGAGGCGCGGCGACGGCGGCGACATGGACATGATGGGGACGTGTCATGTGGCCAGCCGTCCCGCATAGCAGACGACACCCGAGAGCATGTCGCCAAAGCACACCCGCCCCCGGAGTGGGCGGGGCGGGGCGGGGCGGGGCGGGGCGTCCAGCCCTCCAGGGCATCATGCAATGCGTGGCATGCGGCGGTGCCGGTGCCGGTGTCGTGCGCGCGACAGAAGCACACGACGGCATGGGAGCCGACTCCCGCGACCACACAAGCGCCTTCGCTAGAACGCACGTGGTCAATTGAACTCCCTGACACAATCATAGATACCAATCGAACAACGGCAGGCGCGGGGGCGGGGCGGGGCGTGGCGGGGTCGACGACGGCAGGACGCTCCCGTTTACCTCACGGTTCGCCGAACGCGTGACTCTCTGCTGCTTGCTTGGACTCGGAGAGGTCACCGTCGTCGTCGTCATCGTGTAGCAACGACGACGCTGTCCACTGGCCACTGACTGGCGTTCAGCTAGGGGTCGTCGGCTCGTCCTCCTGTGCTTCCCCCTAGAGGAGGGCGTCCTCCCCAGCGTCCTTTTCAGCGTCCTCCCCAGCGTCCTCCCCAGCGTCCTTCCCAGCGTCCTTCCCAGCGTCCTTCCCAGGGTCCTCCCCAGCGTCCTCCCCAGCGTCGTCCCCTTTCGCTCCTCTCCAACCTGTTGTCCCCCATTATGCCCCCCGGCGCCCTCGCCGCCCAAAGTGTGAGTAAAGTGGTAAACTCAATTACCCAAGTCTATTGCTATCGCGTTCCTGGCCGCGTCAGCGACGAACAAAATAATGAAAGACGTCGGAAAAAAATATCGTCCATAATGAAAAGGCAGAGTAGTAGCAGGAGGAGGAGGAGGAGTCTTTCTATACGCAGGCGCAGGGGAAGTGGGTGGGGGGGGGGGGGGCAAGACCACCCCATTGACAACCAGGCCCACCCGGCCTTCGGGGGCTCCGGGGGGCGGTTTGCTAAATACGTACGGCGGGGTTTTCAACCGTGATTCCCGCACAGCCATCGAAATCAATTTACACTTCGATTTTGCGTCCGACAGTAACGTTGACAAGTGGATGAGGAGAGGGTGGTGGTGGTGGTGATGGTCGGAGGAGCGGAGCAGGGAGGAAGGGTCCCTGAAGAAAGCAAGCGTACTGCCGCGCGGGGGCGGGGCGGGGCCGGCGGCGGCGGCGGGGCCAGGAAGTGGCGAGTGGTTTCTTTTGTGCGTCGGGAATTGGATTTGATTGACAATTCCCTCTTCTCTGATGGAGCAGCGCGCGGCGAGAGCGCGCCGTAGAGGGTGATGAGGAGGGCGACGTCCGCGCGGAGCTGGCCGCCGCCGCCGCCACCACAGGGTGTCCCCGAGGCGTCGCCGCGGTGTCCCGCCGCCCTCTGCTCACGCACGTGTAAATAAATACCGCCCGCCCGGCCCCGCCCCGCCCCGCCTCGCTCACCGCAGACTGCGCGGCGGCGTGGCGGGCGCACCACCACACCGCGGCCGCCCGGCCGGCCCCGGCTCGGCGCATCCCCGCCGACAGCTTGCCGATCACGCTTCTCCCCCAAAATTTGGAATTCACGGCCAACGTCCGCCTTTACACATACCGTCGCGTCTCTCCCAGAAAACGAACGACTCTCCACACGTGCGTTATATACATACATTGAAATAAATTATTAGACCGGCCGGTAGTCGGCCGCGTGCTCGCGCGGTGCGGCGGGACGAGGCGGCGGCACTTGAGCGGGCCTTCGCGCCGCGCGCGAGAGAGCAGATTTTGCAATCATGCCCGTCAGGCGACGGGCCGGGCCGGGCCGGGCGGCGGTGCTGCGCCGCTTTGCGTCAACCTCTCGCGGCGCCACAGGAGGCGGCGTCGGCGTGCTAGCTACTCTACTGCATCCAACGCCGTAAACAATGGGACAAAGTTCGACTTTTGAACGTCGATCATTTCTTCCCCTCTAATTTTCATAACCGCTTTGGTTTCTTACAAACACGGCGTCGTGCGTCCTCATCAGGCTCACCTAATTAATGCTAATGGCAGGTGGATGATTTAATCCGCGCACTTCTGCAATTATTTTTGATTTTAAAACGCATGGTTTATTGGTTATTCTTATTTGGAGTTACGCGACTATACAGATCTTTCTTTGCCTCAGAGAAGTTCATTATTATGAGGTGCTTACTGTTTGGCATCATGCTGTACCGCATTCCTTAGTGCGGGCGGGTTGCCTACTCGCCCGGCGCGCAAGGCGCTGTCATAGCGAGGTCAGGGGCGGTAGGCAAAACCCACCCGGTTCTCCTGCGTGCGATACCTCATATAACTACAGAAGTGCGCGAGGTTAATCAGCCACCTGATACTTACAACGTCGTGTCATCGTAATGAGTGAGAGGAAGAATCACGCACTTTTTGTGTACTTTTCTGTGTACTTCTTTTTTTGTTGTGTGTTTCAATTTCTCAGTCCCCGGCGGCCACCCGCTCCACTATATACTGTGTCGCCCGGTTTCCCACAGCTCCGCGGTGTCAACACTCGGCGCGACCGGCTAGCGGGCGCTGCCCGCGGACCTCTACCTACAGCCGGCCTGGCCGCGGCTAGAGCCCGATGCCAGGGCCGATTGATGGTTTTCGCTCTTCCGGTTGGCCGTCCGGTCAGGTGCACGCGACGATTTAGAGAAAGAGAAAGAAAAATTGTCGGGTGTCGAAACGCAGAAAATCCACGCGTAAACTGCCCGCCCCAAGGTGAAGAGGGAAGTGCCAAGTATTCTCACGCTGTCTGGGTTTTGAAAGGTCCCTCCGTTCTTCCTACTCCCGCTGAAATAAGTGACACTTTGGGGGCATCTGCAGACTCCGCGTCGACCCAAGCCCCGGCGGCGCCCGGCCGACGGCCAGCCGACGGTCGACCCGGCTGGAAGCTGGCGCAGACTTCTTGCCCATTTCCGAACGCGGCCAAGTGCCACAATCGCCCGCCTACGCCAGTTCACGTCATCACCAGGCATTGCCGCATTGCCTCGGCGCTACGCTGACCGCTGCGTTCCGTCTCTCTCTTTTGCCTTCCCTCTCTCTCTCTGTCTCTCTCTCTCTCTCTCGCCCGCTCGCTCTCTCATTCATTCTCGCTCACTTGCTCACACACCAGTGGAGCACGACCTACACACGCTCATTACCTCCACTGGCGTACAAAATCACTCGTCACTCAAACAACACTCACTTTTCGGAGTTCGTCTTGACGCTGTTCGTGTCCAGGAGGGGTGTGAAGACTGCTGCCGAGGTTCCCCTCGGCGATGACGGCGACGGCGACGACGACAACGGCGCGGAGGCAGCGACGCGAAGGTGCTCGCCGGGGTCCCGGACGCGACGCTCTCCTCGAGTGGCAGTCCGTGGAGTGTTGCTCAGCTCGGTCCTTGGTGGTCCTTGGTGTGGTCCGGCCCGACCGGCACGTTGCGTACTCGAGCACGGCGTCGGGCGTGAGCCTCCCGGTGCCTGTCGCGCAGCCCGCTGCGTGACGCTCCTACCTCCCCGCGTGCCGGCCCAGCACTGAGCGCGGCGCGGAGCGGAGCGCGAGCGCGGGGAGGCGGCACACCGGCCGGAGCGTCGGGAGCGGCGGCGGCGTCGCGGCGACGCCCCCCTCCCTCCCCCCTGCCCGGGGCCGACGCGGGGGTCGACGTGGGCCGGGCCGGGACCGGAGCCGACGGGGGTCGACGTGTGCACCCAGAGAACCATTCAGTTGATACAACTAAATCAGGGTTGTGAGGAACAAAATTTAGTTCCTTAAACTGACTAAAATTTAGTAACCCCATTTTTAACTAGATATGGTCGCACCAACACAATTGAGTCAGCTAGACGAAATTATTTCATCGCCACGAATAAAGTTTAATCTCCAGAGCTAAAGTTTCGTTCGTTTTGAATTTGGTTCTCTGGACTACGGTCCTCTGGGTGTGGGCCGACGCTGGCCGGGCCGGGGCCGACGCTGGCCGGGCCGGGGCCGACGCCGACCGGGCCAATACGACTTGTTGTCTTCTTTCACAAATCGGAAGTACTGGTGGATAAAATCCAACTTTGGGCGCCCGCCTTGACTCATATTGATTGACAGACAATGCTCGTTAAGCTCGATATGCACGATGAGACGGACTGACTGGACCAGCCGACGTCTCCAATACACGAGGTGGCACCCCCACCACTCGCGCTATACCTGAGGAAGGTGAGGTGGTTGGTGCGCTGCTGGCCGTCAGACAGCGTCGGCGGCGCGGCCACCCGCCTTTCAGGACTTGCGTGATCGTTTGAAAGGAACGCACGCTGGAGGGCGGCGAGGACGAGGAGAGGGGGGGGGGGGCTCAGGAGACTTGCTCCAGACTGGAGGGGGAAAATAAGAGTAAACAGCCGCCGCACAAACCTTTTCCCGCTCTCCGAAGAGTCAAGAGGAAAATCTTGAAGTAATGCTGTATGGAGTAGATACAGGCCCATATCCGGTCCCGAGCTCCGTCGGAGGCTTCCGCCCGACAAGTTTTCCTGATGTGCACGCTTTACATGCTTAATATAACGGGTGTTCACTAAAACCTGGTTGCATTGGAACTATTCCGGGGGTTGGACGAGCCTGCGCAGATTTGTTATATTAAAAAGCATTTCTGCCTGTCTCGCAGACGACAGAACGATAGAGTCTTCTTCTTGTTTTCTTCTCCATAACTCCGACGAACCTCGGGCCCGCGCAGGGTACCACTTTTACTGGGAAATACCCGTCAGATCGTAGGGTGTACGAAAAAACCGTTGATACCACTGCAACCGGCTAACTTTTCAGATAAGAACAGAACACTCGGTGTCCCAAATATATTACTTGATCCCGTTACCGGCGTGCACGACTGGGAGGGTGTCGCGCCACCCACCAGCCTGCAGCTTGTCCATACAGCATTAGTCCAAGGGAAAATTATTGGCACTGTCCACAGTGTTCCTTAAGCATCATCAGCAGTGCACACAAGTGCGCAGCTGAAAAAACGTACGATTGGATCTCTTCTGAGAGACGGACG